CCGTCAAGGAAAAAGAATCGATATTATTTCGAACGTAAATGCAAGGACCCCCATATGCAGGACCTCTATGTGATTCCTTTTCTTTACAATAATAGTCTGCGAGGTAAAAGTTTGTAATTTGGAAAATACTAAGATAATTATGAAATAACCAATGTTCTGTAAAGCAAAGAATATCCATTTGATTTTATCGCTCTGTAGGGCTGCTTCGATAAACTCAGTTTTATTTGAAAGGGATTGAACATTATGATGCAGTATGTTTATGTTTTGCAAGTACCTACACGGATGTTTTTCTACTGCATCTGACTGTAGTTGCTATACATTTACTCCATTTTTACCTCGAGTGCGTGGTCGAAGGTTGTAGTGTGACCCGACAGTGGCAGGTTGTGTGGAAACTGAGGCATCAGATGTAGGAGAATTGGTAGTGGGAGTGGGAGTGGGAGAAACGGGAGAAGGATCGGAGGAGGAGGTAAGTGGGTTAAAAATAAGGGTGGGGGTCGAGAACGCAAGGAAGGAGAAATGCATGGAATTTTGGCAGGAGACTGCGTAGGACTGGAGTAGATGATGTGTTGTGCAAGCTTGTTGCCGACTATATGTTTTCCAGCCAGGTTCATGTGGAGACCATGCTGGGTGAAGTGTTTTGCTGAGAGGAAATTTATTTAAAAAAGTGTAACATTTGTTTCTCTCAGTTGCAGTTTTAATTGTTGGTTTGCGAGCTTAAACTTGATGCATAGTGTTGGTCTGTTAAACCAGAATGGCAGAGTCGAGACTACAATGTTAGTGTTTTGGGCTGCACGTTGTAATTTGTTTACATGTTATTGAGGTGTAAAGTTACCACCCAAATTAATAACATTCTGCCCTCCTATGATAATAACTGTGTTCTGATTGGTCAGTGCTTTGTGTGGGTGTCCAAGACTGCAGTCATGTCTGCAAACTTCCCGTTAGGTTTAAAAATAGATGAGACTGAGTATTTGGTGAGTTACTTCCTACTGAGAATGGAGGAAAGATGGCGGCCATGGCTGTCAGCTAAAATAAGTACTTGTTTTTTAGGCACAGTAGGAATGTCCTTGTTTTCAAGTGGGCTAGGATGTGCAGCTTTACGTGTTTTGGTTTTGAGGCGCTTTCTAGCCTGTTTGCGTTGGTTTGTGCATGCATTTGTCGATGGCAGAAAAGGGTTGTAAGGATCAAGAAGGCGAGGAAAATCTATTTCATAATCCAAAACACTAAATTTGTTTTGAGTTGCTACTGGATATGGCGTCTGTGTCTTTTGTGCAGCCGCGGGTGCACGGTTGGAAAGATTCGCAGAGTTACGGACTTGTACCCAACCGTCTGTATAAAGAACAACCTCTTCCAACCTTCGGATATGTTGATCTAAATTACTGTTTATGTGTGTGAAGGCTTTCAGAAGGTCGGCTTTGAGAGTGTAGAGAGTAAAAAGAGTACAGCGATTAGTTTCCATGTCACGAATGCGTTTTACGAAGGTTGCCTTTTATGTTCCGAGATTTGGCAATCCTGATGTTGCAATCCGGTAACTGACAGCTCTATCGTAAAGTCAGATGTATTGAGGTTATACGTATGTACTCAGAACGTTTTGACACACGAGCGCTATTTGCGTTGTTTACAGTAACTTAAAAGATTCATCTTGGCCTAAAAATGGAATTAAATGTGATCATTTTCGTGCGATTACTTTTTACAACTTTCGACATGGATTACTCAGCGACTATGCATGGATGAACTTAATTCAATTTTTGGCGATGAAGGCTTCTCATGTCAGATGGATTTCAGTGTATCGATTGGTATGGTGAATTCAAATTCGGGTCGTAGTTCATGCGTGCAAGAATGACTGATGTCGCGAAGGTCTTTCCAAAATCGAGTTTGTTTGTTCGAATATACATTTGACGCGTGTGCGTTGAACTGATTAGCTGCAAGATCGTCATTTATCCTATCGTGAGAATTGAGACAACTTAGGCATTGATGTTTTGGGACTCGCAATAGCATTCAATATTGCATGAACATTTGTTCTGTGCATAAAAATTTGTTCGCGTTGGAATCCCACACAATTTGGTCAATCGCTCAAAAAAGGCTTCGGTGTTCCGGATTGGGTGCGAGAAGATATGCTTAAAAATATACGTTTTCGAGGTCTTCGGAAACACGTCTTGTGACATCCAGTGACAGGTGATGAATTCGAGGATTTACGTCGTATTCCCGAAAGTGAAACGGCAGTCGATCTGTATGGGTGTTTCAAAGTTTATGAGCAAATTCCAACAAAAGTTTTCACGTGGCAGACGACCACTTCCAGATGGTCGCCTGTTTTTTCGGAAAAAACTGGACATGTCGCAACGTTACCACTACCACAACGCAGAACAGGTCAATCTTGAGCTGGTACACAACCTGATTTGTTTTGCCAGCTGGTCCTTCCGAAGGAAATCAGGAAAACCAACCGGCCGAAGACTTGATCACTCTTCATTCACGACAATGGCGATCTCTCACACATCGGCAAGCAACTGCATTTTTAAGTACCCAAATATCTATTTGATGAGTCATCCGCCGTTATGTCCTGACTTTGGTCACCGAATGACTTCTTTTTATTCCCGTAAGTAAAACCAAACTGAGAGGTCATGTTTTTCGTATATCTTTCTGTAAGATATGCGGTTGCTGCATTCAGAATGCATGTTTTGGAGATACCTCAATCAGAGTGGCAAAAGTGCTTCAAACGTATTCAATTTCAAAGCTTCAATTGGTTCAAACGCATGCAAAGTGTATAGATCTTCATGGGGAATACTTTGAAAACCAATAAAGTGATTTTAGATGATTAATATTTGCTTTTGTTCTCTAATCCTGAAATATAAAAGGCAACCCTCGTAATGTACTTGATAAAATTGGAATAAATACAAGAAACACAGGTAAGAGTAACAAGTAGTGAGCTTAATATTTTGAAAGTGTAAGATTGTTATGAATTGAATAAATTATGATTCGATACTAGAATGAGAAAGTGCGTTCCTTACTAAATTGATTGAAAGATAGTACTTACGAAATTTGGCAATGTGGTTCTGTAGATTGTTGTCCACTTAAGCTGCTACTATTTAATACATTCAGTAGACTATACCGTAGAGAGACAAAAGATATTAAGTGAAAATTTGTCTTGAAAATATAGAATAAATTAAAATTGAAAACAAATTCTAAACTGTTCGATATACCGTTCTCGTAAAGTTCAAATCAACGGAATTGTTACTCGTCACATAAATATAATAAAAATATTTCAATAATTAAATTAGTACACGATTTGACACTTACACCAACTCGTAAATCTTAAGTTCTTTAATGTTTCAGTAACCGTTTAAAATTTGTTATATTTTAGTTTGTCTTGGCAATAGCAAAAACCTAACTGAAATTATGTATCCAGCCAACCTGCAACAAGTAATAGGTATCAAGAAACTCCTTCCCTGATTATCCTATTTTTCAGAACATTTAATTCGTTTTCATTTGTTAATTAGTTAACATTTGTATTGAATATTTTTTTAAAAGACTTAATAGGTTTGTAACAAAAAATGTACGTCAGCTTCCGAGTCAATGACCCCCATCTCGATCAGGTTTTTGTCCAGTTTCCCTGATCCATTGAGCCAATGCTGAGGTGACCCTTGTTTTGCTTCTGGACGTAAATGTAGCTTCACTATGCGCACATTTTGTTGAACTCTCCTTTTACTTGTAGTGGTAAGAGTAGAGGTATGCAATTTTGTTAGCAATGCAGAAAAATCATACTTGCAATTCACCGATGGAAATAAGTTTTCTATTACTTAGAAACAAAAATGACAATATTATTTTTATAATATATTTTTCAAATATTGCTAATCTTACATTTTTAAAATTTATTTATTTATTTATGTTAAACTTTTACTCACCTTTCAACTATTTATAGTTAAAATGACGGGAAGGGATTCTGAAACTCAAGAATACGTGCGCAGATAATCTTTTCTCCCCTACGTCACATACAGTTTTTACTGTTTTTTGTTGTTTTTTTACTGAATAAATCTATATCTAAATCTAAATTGTGCATCTACGTGTATGTGAATATTGAGCATACAGAATTTAAGTAATATCCCTGTGCATCTGCGAGTATGTAAACATTGTAAATAAGGAATTACGAGTATCAACAGTTCATTACAAAAACTTCACATATAATACACGTACATTATTGTACAACACCTTGCCAGATGACATTAAACGATTAAATTTGATACAAAAGTTTGTTCCAAGTAAAATATTTTCTGCTGCACAACTGTTTTTACTATCTTGAGCATCCAAAAGAAAAGTAAAATTAATTTTAACTACGACATTTAGTGTATTATTTAACATTTGGATTGTATAATTCTAAAGAATCTGTATCAAGTATTGTACTTCAACTTTTGGGTCAATGACCCCCATCTCGATCAGGTTTTTATCGAGTGTCCCTGATCCTTCAGCAAATGCTGAGATGGCCCCTTGTTTTGCTTCTTGACATAAATGTAACTTTAAAGTAACTTCTCCCCATATCACGTCACACAGATATTTAACTGTTTTTTCATAAATAAATAAATGAGTACATTAGATTTCCCAGATCACTGGAGCAATTTAGAGATAGAGTTAATATTAATTTGCCCATTATCGTAAACATGATATAAAACACAGCCTTCTAGAAACACCTGCGAGAAAATATAATATTAAAAGGCTCATTCCACCTGCATTCCTGAGATTTCATTTGAATTCATATTCCGTTCATATTCGTTCCATTCAGTGTCACCAACGTATGTAGTTGTCAGTAGGAAAATGCAGGATCACCAACCAATGCTAAATCAAATTGTGAAACAATATTACTTAAAAATGTATTATCTAACATGCAATTAAACTGATTTTGTGCATTTTATTGTTAGTACAAAGAGAAAAAATATTTTAATATACTTTCTTTTATAAAACAATCCAAATTTCTTTTGGCGGGACGTACTGGCGATGCTCAGATGTCCACCGCAGAAATGTATAACGACAGCCCAGCCAGTGTTGGTGGAATCGGGATGCCCGTCTGTACGACACCCTCGCTTGAATGCCGCTTGCTGTTATGGATGACTTGCGTTGGAAATAGGTTGCAAATGTAAATATTTTGATGAAGAAATGGAAGTAAATGTTCCTTCTGGCAGCGTGTGTTGTTTCTGTCTCACAACTTACGAAGATGAAGCGCTCTACGGAAAGTTTTACAAGATCGAAGAAATCACAACCCACTACTTCTGTTTGGTGCGTTTCGTGTTTTATGTTTGTTTTATAGGCGTGCAGGGGTTAAGGTGTTTCAGTTAAACAATTGCATGTATTTTTATTTTGTAGCTGTTGTCATCCAAAGTTCAGCAACGAGGTTCAGATAATGAAGGGATTTTGGGGTTTCTTCCCATGGATATCAGGAACGAGGTTAAAAGAGGGAAAAAATTGGTATGTATTATTTCTCTTGATATAATATATAATGAAAAGTGTTTGCTATTAGATAATATTTTTAGTTTCTTTATAATCAAATGGTTACTGTAACTTAAATTATTTTTAGTGCAATTTGGAGAACATCAATTGAATGTTCTTTATTAACTTGGAATCTTAAAATTGAGATGAGATGATTAAAAGCTTTGCCTTATAGCTTTGAGTAGATGTACTGTTTAGTTTTATATGTAGTGTGTAAAATACTCTCATTCTTATGTTATGTATACAAAAATAATATGATGATTTTCTGTAATCAGTACCCAAAATGAGACCAGATTTATTTTAAGTTTATTATTGACAGCAAAAAAATTAAACACATTGAGAAAGAGTTCCTTTAAAATTATTTGGGTTTGTGATAAGGATTCTCACAGTATATAAGAATAGGCATTTCAAGGCAGTTCGTTGGTCGTTCAGTGGAACACATTCTAGAGTGAGAAGTGTGGAATGAAACCATCTTATTCATATTCATCTTCTAATGTTTTGAGTTATCCCCCCCCCTCTCCTTTAGGTTCCTTAATAAAAGATAATACTCCCGTTCACTTGCATAAGGGCAAGTGGTGGCAAGATTCTGGTCCTTAGCATTAAAACAAATCTTGAATTTGTCGAATGCATTGCCATTAATTTCTGCCAATAACATATCTTATTTACGTACATCATGTATATCCAGATCACAAGAGTCAGGATGCTTTCAAGGAGATTAGCAACATCAATCCACATGTTGGTCCAAACTCTATCATTGTACATCAATTGATATTTGAAATAATCATACGCAATGTAAATTATTGAGCATTTCCAACAGTCATGATGAATCACATTTTTTTATAGTAAGCATTAAGGAGGGTCGATTAATGTTTGAATAAAAGAAAAATAAAACTTTTCTATCTTTCATCGCTTTCAGTAGTGGAGATTATATAATAGAACAGTTTTAACTTCTGTCCTTGCTTATTTTGTGGAATTGATGTCATATTTTATTGTAACCTTTTAACATATATATTCTGTAGAATAATTATAACATTTTTATTGATCACCTGGTGCTGTTGAGCTATTTTGAGAACATACCTGTGTGTGTTTGTTTTATGCAAAATGCAATGATAATTTTGCATTGGACAAATTCAGAGTTGTGTTGTGTAATGAGTGAAAGTTAAAGCATCATTTTCAACTCAATAATGCATAGTGTAGTGTCAGTATGGTCTTAAAGTATTTTGGCAAAGTTGTTTTCATCTACATGTACGTACGTGAATGTCAATAAAATGTACAAAATACAAACAGCAGTGCCATGACACTGCCACCAAGAGAATGGACCTACTGAACTGAACTGTAATTTTAAATAATTATTTTTTTCTATTTCAGACTTGTTTTTATTGTGGAAAGCGTGGTGCTACTTTAAGTTGTCATTATTCGAAATGCAGAAGTCACTTCCATTTACCATGCGGACGATCTAGAAATACGTTCCATGAATTTTTCGGAGAGTTCAAGTAAGTTCATTAGTGTTCAGAATGTCTTTAGATTTGTAGAGATTTATGAATTATCTACATTAGTCTAAAATTTTCATAATGATCATCTTTTTCTTGTAAGTGCATAAAGTGTGTGATTGAATAATGATTCAAAGGAAAGATTTGTAAATTTGTTTTGGAGTTTCTGATGATTTTTGTTCAAAAACAGAAATCGCGTAGGTAAGTTTTGTTTTGGAATTGTTTGTTGTGATGTACTATTTTAGATTTAGCATCTCAAAGTAACCCCATTGTGGTTGCTATAACACCATAAAAACTTGCATAAAAACTTTTAAGGCCGATAATCTGGACATTATTCTTTCTGAGTTTTGTTCCACCATACAGATACTTGTCCGTAGAGATTTATGCATGAACTCAAGAGGCAACACATCTCTAAACCCCTTGGGGGGGTGTTTGAGCACTTTGCACTTTTGAAGAAATCCTCCGTTAACTATTGCGCAGGAGTAATCCTCCATTATTTAATATAGTCCGTCACATCTATGGCAGTTGTCAAGAGGACCACCAGATAGCATCTCTATGTTCGTGCTCCTGCGTCACTACCCAGCTGCCAGAATTGGGAAGGAACAAGCGTAGGGGTAAGGTTTGGGACGTTTCACAGGGGTTGAACTGTGAAGGAGGCAAACCTCGTTTTGTCGTAACAAATTTCACATGAGGTTCTACGGGCTAGAACCCTCTGGTGAAAGGCAGGCTACTCCGCCAGAGCCAAGAGAGCATCTGAGATTTATGTAGGAAGTTGTTAATTTATTTACTATTGTAAATAATACACTAACTATTGTAATTATACACTAACTCATCCACGTTATATTCAGATCATTAATTTTCGTAGGAAGGAGTTGGGTTTTGTTGCTGTGGCTATGGTTGACTTATGGAATTGTGAACATTGAATAAATGAGGTAAAAGGTCTGAGTACAATTAGAACTGGTGTGGAGGAATTTGCCATGTAGCTCATGTTCTACCATTCTGATAAATAGTGACAATTAAACTAACAGCTTAGGCTCCCTATAATTTCCATTCGCACAACACACTTTAATGTAACTTTTCATTCTCAATGCTCTTGATTCTGGTAATGGCTAAAGACAGGATTTTCATGTTATATTAAGTCTTAAAATGTGCATGCCAACACAATACGAAATAACTAAATATGTACGATTTAAAGTTAAAAATTTATGAAATATGAAGTAATAAATTTACATATTTTTCTCATTTCTTGTTTTATTTATTTCTGTACTAGTGGACTATAATCACGTTTTAAGTCTTTTGGAATTCTTACTCCTTAATTCATAAATTATTAACATGTGATTTCTTTATTTAAAAACTAGCAAAAATTTCAAATGCGTATCTGATGAAATCCCATTTTCCAAGATTTTGGTAGGGATTGATAGTATGCACTAGATTTTGAACTGAAAGGCTCCCACAGAATTGTTTGGTTAATATTCAAAGCCATAAAAATGACAACATGAGCATTTTCACTAGCGTATGTATGCAAGAAACATTTCTCGGCACATATATTTGACTGAGATGGCTACACTTTGGTTACCAAATATCACTTGATTTGTTAACATGAAGTTATTCAAGGTTGAATTCTAGGAAAAACGCATACTGCTTTTCTGAACTCCCTGTAAGTCTTCAAAATTGTTTTAAGATATTTCTTATAAAATACAATATTCATCATCATTTGAAGAGTCTCTGCATGACAGAAGGTCCACAATTGCCTTCAGAATTTCACCATGAATTCAAATCAACATTCATGACTTCTGTTCCTAACCTCAAAATGGCCCAGTGCAATGGGCTGCACTGATGAGTTGCTCAGTGCTGGTTAGGGCGCCTTGAGTGCATCCTATTTCCGTGTCATTGTATGAATGGAACATGGGTTTCTTTGCACTGGTGTGCCTTAGCCATTAAATGGAACATGGAAGCTGCCCTTGACATGCACGAGCGTGGCAAAGGAAAGACAACATGTTAGCAATTTTTACAAATTTTCTTGAGTTTCTTTTATCCATATCAAAGAAAATGTTTTTGAATGCCAATTCTTTGTCACAAAACATAATAGTAGCATACTGAAAGGATGTGAATTGCCGTTCTATCACTTCAAAAACCTGAAGAATATTACCTTTGGATTGCAGAAAAATATATTTGGATAATAAAAAGATGCCGTCCACATGATTTCTGCGAGCCTCTTGTCATTGAGCTTGGAATCTTAACATGACTTCGTTAAAAGTTAAATATGAAAAGTTAAATATTTTCTGCTGCATAACTGTTTCTGTATAATTAGAAACAATAATGGACATCTAAGAGTAATATATTATTTATTTTAAAAGTGGCATATAATGCATTAGTTGGCATTTGCATTGTATAATTTTTGAAAATGACTTAATATGCCTGTAACAATAATGTAGGTCAGCGTCTGGGTCATCTCAATCAGGTGTTGTCCAGTTCCCCGGATCCATTGAGCAAATGCTGACATCACCCCTTGTTTTGCTTCTAGACATAAATGTAGTTTCACTATGCACAAGTTTTGTGGAGCTTTCCTTTTGTTTGTAGCGGTGGGAGTAGAACTGGAGGTGTGTTACTATTTTATTAACAATGCAAAACACTTAAATCTGCAGTTTGTTTGTCAATATAAATAAGTTTTCTCTAACTGAAGGGGAAATTTCTTATTTTTCCTCCCTCTCTTTCTGCTAAATGTTGCTAATCGTGCACTTTTTAAATTTTATTTTTACTTAATTTTGTTCATTTAATATATTCAGGGGTTTTGTATAACAAATAATACCAAGATTATTCGTGAGGATACAAGATACTGTGAACAACCATGAAATAACTATACAAAGTTGTATAACATTCAAATGAACTTCATTTGTATACAATATAATAAAATACCAATCGCAGAGAACACAGAATATAAGAAAGTAACACTGTCATACCTATCAAATATTTATTAACATAATTTTATGGAGAGTAAATTCCTTAATTACATCATAATGAAGTTCAATAAGCCAAGATCTCAATGTTTTCATAAATTTAGGAGTGGTAGAATCACAATTTTTCAAATCAAACTTAATGCATTAAAAGCAGTTTACTGATATATCTTGGACTAGTTTTTGCTAGTTGCTTATTCACCCGCAAAGGAGGTAAAGGAGCATGTCTCTTGTAGAGCAAAAGCTCTTGTTTATTCACTGTGGATTTTGGGAATGTTAAAGCTTTTTCAATGTAGAACTTCTTGATTGATATACCGTATTTATCCAAATATAATTTGGCTGTGAATATAAAATGACCCTCTAATTTTGAAGAGGCCTCCTGAGAATTTTTTTTTACATTTTTAAGTAATTCTCCGTAGTAAAATTGCACTGTTTTATTGACTAGAAAATTGCCTTGGGAATGTTAGGACTTACTATCTGAACTATCATTTTCTTGCTTCTTAAGATAATATCATGGTTTTGTCACTACCCCCATCATCTTCACATGTATCAATGTTTCTTTATTTTTGGCCTTCCTTCTGTGCTGCTACTTCTGACCTAGATCCCTCTCAATGTTTTGCGTTGTTCTTAGTATTTCATTAGAATTGAAATATTTTATTGAATTTGCGTTCTTAGTCTTTCACTAGATGCCACCTAAGAATATTCTCTTCTGTGTCACCAAATTTTCTTCTGTTCCGCACTTGATGACACTTGATGAATGTTTATTTAACAGTTCTTTCATATTCTTTGGCAGAGTAAACTTGAAATTATAGTTTACGTGTGATCGAGTTGTGAACTACGAACTCTTACATCTCAGTCCCTCACTTTCACCGGTAAAGTGGGAAGCAGCACAAAGTTCCCGAGTTGAGGAATTTGTCGTTAAGAAAATGTATTTTCTTTGATTATCCTTTTCTATGGTCGGATGTAGAATGCGTACGTCTGTCAATGTGATTCCTCCCCCAATTCAGCCTCTGGCAAAACAATGTGATTCCCACATGCTGGGTGAGGAATCGGGATTCCGCGAACAAGCGCTGAGTAATAAAATCTCGACATTTATTTTCACTTGTTTCACTTTTGTATAAAGTGCCATTCGTTTCAGATTTAACCGCTCCAGACATTTTCTTAATTTTACGGTTTCCTAACTGAAGAGCGTAAATATTATTTTAAGGTTATTAAAAAACAGTAAAACCTCATTCTAAATGGCAATTTTCTTCGAAAAATTTGGTGCCGTTTATAAAAAACCGACGTTTAAGCGCTACCTTCAAATTCGCAATTTGAAGCACAAATTTAGAGTTTTCAGAAACCTTAAAGTAATTTTTAACACATCACACAAATAAAATAGTACTTAGAAATTGCTGGAAATGTGCATAATAACGGCGTAAGAGATCTTTCAAAGAAATTATATTTGTGTAACTTGAAAAAGAAAAATACACCGAAATTAACATTACTCTGTATTAAAGTGATATTAGCACTATCCGTTTGATATGTTTGAAGAAAAAATTTGGAGCGGTTTTTGAGAAATGGCATTTGAGTTTTTCTGAATTTTGAGGTAGTTTACACAGAAAACGATTGAGTTTTTGAGAAACTTTAAATGACATTATTTAAAGCCGTCTCATCAATACAATAATGTGATCATACATCATCTTATATAGTACATTAAGCACTAACCTTAACAAAAGTTCAGAGAACAAATTTGAACTCTTTTTGAGAAAATCTTGTTTTGTAATTTTTTAGAATTGCACATATTGCACAAAAACTACTTAAATTTTCAACTACAACAAAAAATGTACACGACTTTAATGAAAGAACTTACTACGGAGAACAAATTGTATTTGCAGAAAAAGCTCTCTATATTTAATTTTGTGGTTGTAGGTAGACTGAAAAAAAAGCGTACTTTTGCAATTTTCGAAAATTCAGAGTTAAATACATGAAAATTGCACGTATGCCATATTTATAAGTATGTGCTACTCCATTCTTACAAGATACTCAAAGAAAATTTGTAGCCGTTTT